CTACTCATCCATCATAAACAACGTGAAAGCTTTGCTCCAGCTGCATGCGTTGGGTGTGAAATGGGCTTTATTGTGTGTTTGGATGAGGTTGCTGATTACATTTTTGTAATTAATTAGTAATTTCTCCAGGAACATTCGGCTCTAAATTCCTCCCATCTCTGGCTGCTGCTGACCCATCCAGAAAACAAAATCCCCTAGTCCGTTTGCCTTCCCAACACATTTCGTCCCTGATCCTGGTGTCAGCTTGTGAGGGAGAAGTGTCTAGGAGGGAATTCGGTAACCACATTATCCATGTTCTCTGCAGCGGCTGAGTCTCCTGGAACCGTTCAAGCGACAGATCAAAGCCTCACGCTCTCTCTGTGCTGGTCCAGCTACTTTGGCGATGCTACCCTTCAGCTTTGGCTTCTGCCTTCACAGACCACGGCTTGGATTGTTTCCTCAAGTGCGGACATTCGGCTTTGATGGTCAGTTTGCTGTGACTGAGACCCAAGGGTAGGCTTAGAAGAGCTGAACATAGGAAAAGCGGATGAAACGGAGGCCGTAAAAATGAAAACGTCTCCTTTCTATGGACAGATTTTGTCAGTATAGCTTCACAAGATGGAATTAGCATGTTTTTGGTTGTGTCTAGCACTGTGGGATTTGAACCAATACATATAAGCAGACGAGATATCCCACCAAATGTCTTTTTTATAGGGGGGCAACATTTAATTAACTGAAAAAGCTTAATAAAATTAATCACAGACAAGGCTTAAGCTAGATTAAAAGGCATGTTTGAGCTGTTTTAACTGAAAGCAACTTTATTTGTATCACTCTGTTTCCCTCTCTTCCCTTACAAATGATTCAGTATGCTGTGCGTGTCACAAACCCCACATGACTATCATTTAAGTGCCCCTCCTTCTGCTCCAAGATAAAAGCAAAGTCTCGGCTGGACTTCCCTACCAACACTAATTATTGATATGCATTTGTCTGGTTTGCATCAGCCTCCTCTGTGATCTTGGCTTGTGAGGTGCGATTATTCCAGCAATTGTTCATGGAAAAATGCACTGGGACAGGCAGGGCTGTTTATGGATGCATCTCAGCCTCTTAAATTATGGATTTTCTTTGCCCTGAATCTTCCTTCGCTGCCCCTATTTGCTTTGTTATTTTTATTTCACTTTTTATGAACAAGACTGAATTGTCAGAAACAAACATGTAAATAGAGCTACATTAAAGGTTCAAATATTTATAAAAAAAAAACTCATATTCCGGATTTAGACAAACTAATGCTTATTCTTAAAACTAGCCGAAAATCATATCTCAGTAAAGACAATCCACACACACATTATGTTCCAAAACCTATGAGAGCTTTCAAAGGCATTAGAGACTCAGAAAATGTTGCTTATAAATATAGTAAGCTGCCTTTTGCCTTAAATAACCTTGTGAAATTCAACTTTTGAAACAAGAACTAATAACAGAAATAATTTAAGTTGCTTTTTATTTCCTTAACTTTATATTATCTGCAAGTACACTGTAAAAATATTGTTGGTTTAACTTAAAAAAATAAAAAAGTAACCTGGTTGCCTTTTAAAAATTTTTAAATTAAGTTCATTGAAATAGAAAAATTGAGTTAATACAATGAACGAGATTGATTTAATCAGAAACTCAAAATATTATGTTATCTGAACTACATAAATTATCCAAGTTGATTTGACAAAAGAAAAAAATGCTTTGATTACAAATCATGAAAATATTTTTTTACTAAAAGTGAACATTCAATTAAGCACTCTTAATTGTACTTTTATACAACGGGGAAATCCTATTGGGTTTTTATTGAGGGAGCCAGCGTGAACACTTGGCCTATAAAATGACGTCATACCTGCACCACTCGATTGTGCAAAAGAAATGGTTTAATTATGTTTATGGACTAGCAGACAGCAAGGCAGTCGGATTAAAACCATTGACTTGACTAGTAAATTATCTTCGAATCATTATAGTCATTTTCTGTGAGGAACAAAATAACAATTTCTCTAAATAATGTGTCCTGAATAAATGCAGATGTTGACTAATATAGATTTTCACAGTAAAATGCACATCAGCTGTGGAGTTTAATTCGTGACTGCATTGGTCTGGAAACACTGTTCTGGAAATTGGCCATATGGTTTGACAAAGTGAGGTTTCCCCTGAGTGATTGCACGGCGTAGGAGTGTGAGGATGTTTTGCAGAAACACCTTTGAGTAGGCTGTGACATTACATGTCTCCAGATTCTATGCTGAAAAAATACAAATGGAGTGAGATTTCCAGATGCACAGAAACAGGGGTGCATAAGGTTGACCATATTCAGCCACTCAGTCACTAATAGACAATTTATGTCAGCTAGACACAAAAGATGAGTCTGAACTCTGAGGTGCAAGTTTTGTCGGAAGAAAGAATTGACTTTTAAGACTAAAAATGTCTATGTCTGAGTTAAGGGAAATTGGATGTAATGAATGCGGCACCGCTGTTGAAGGTGGCCATCCCCAATCCAATATTTTATACAGCAGAGCAGTTTTTACTGTAGCAAGACAGTCTCAGATACATCATTTAAATAAATTAGGCACCAATTTTAATCACAAACAAAACATATCAGCTATGGTACAATGATAAAATCATTCAACTTTCCTTTCTAACAGAGGTGGGAATACATTGATGTCACTTTCACGCCGTAACAACCCCCCTTTGCCGGACTGAGTGGCAAAAGATCTGCTGCGTGACTGGATTTAATAGGGGAAACTGTGAAAATGTGACTAAAAAGAACGATTATCAATTTAAACTAAATGTTGGACTCAATATAGTGTTCCTTACAACTTACTACAGATCCAGCAATCCATGGATATTGACATGCGGCCAGGAATCGTGTTGCCTGACATTTATGTGCCTGATTTCGACACCGGGGAAATAAAAGCAATATAGACCTAAATATAAAGTACATTTGCCTGCAATATAGGTAGGTCTAAATCCGGGTGATCACTAATATCAGTGTTATATATATTAAATTTATGAATTGTTAATATATACATATATATTTACACCTAGAGTCAGCATATTGACACGAAATGATAACTGCAAATCCACCTTTCACTGACTGGAGTGCAGTTGTTCCTGCTCCTCTTTCTATAGTAATCTGTAAAAATATACCTCCGATTTTTTGTCAAATCTAGTTGTACAGTCAATTGCAAAGCTCTTTCCCTCTTCATATGTGTTGTGTTAGTTTTTTGCAGCATTCACGCTAACAACAAATACAGCCGCTCAGTCTTTTTGCCACTCACTGTGAGTAACTGCAGGCACTCCGGCTGACACATGTATGTCACACGCATACCCTATATTGGAACCTGTGGGAGGGGCCAACATTATGACATCATCCCAGGTTCAGAGTGATGAATTGTTTTAGTGGAAGCGGGAGATGGAGGATCTTCTTTCTGAAACTCACTGGAGGACTTTAGAAATAGGGCAAACTGGATTACCTTTCACCAGCACACCATCATACTGTCTTCACTGATGAGAATTCAAATGTAGCTATGATTATTTACATACACATTATACAGTAATAATGTGTGTGGAAGGCTCATATCTTCAAAAATCAGGAAATGGAAAAAGCACTGCATTTTTAAAATAAACACATCATCAAGGTTGATATTGTGGCTTTATATATGGTAACACTTGCATTTGTTGTTACATTGTTAACATTTTACCAAAATCAAGCTCAAATGGAGTTACTATGTTTTGCCTTGTGAATTTTGGAGATTTTCAGAATTCGATGTGTTTTGTACATCGCATTACGTTTTTATCGACTAACAGGTTATAAAGTTTATTTTAGCTATGTGGGTGCTCATATTTTTCTGTTATTTGTCTAATATCTATATGTAATTAAAGAGAAAGGTAATGTGTCACATAAGTAAAACGCTATGACTCGACGACAAATGCTAGACACTCTTCTCCACTCCTCAAATACATAAAACATTAGTTTTTCTATCAATCTATCTGTTTTTTGTTGTTGTTGTTGTTTGTTTTGAGTAAAGGAAGTGCTGTGCTTATTCAAAGAACCAGTTCTTTATTCACCGTTTGTTGCACTGCAAACAAGCAGAGACTTTAAGCTGTGTCGAATTTATGTCCATCGTATGCACACTTCAAAATCTCGCTGGAAGAAGCAATTCATCCGGGTATTTTTTGCATACTCTTTTATGAGTAGGGTTGGGTATCGTTTGAATTTGAACGATTCTGATTCCGATTCCGATTCCTTGTTTCGATTCCGGTTCCTAACGATTCTCAATTCCGATTCTTTTAAGAGGCAGGGTCAAAAAAGTTTAGCTAACCTTGCTAACCAACGGTCTTTCGGAAGGAAATAATCCTTTCTGAAGGAAATACTCCTTCTGTCACAAATACTCCTTTTGTCACAAATTTTGCATTTTGCAGAGATTTCTTTATTTTTAGAAAAGTGAAGCCACACTTTGGACCGCCAACGTAAGCTACTCATGTTCGACTCGTGCGGTTATGCCAACACTTCCGGTAGACGCTTCTTCGTTGGTGTTGTTCAGCGGTTTCTTCTTCCACTCCGCGGACTGTGAATATCGAAACTAGGAATCGAAATTTTAACTTTTGAACGATTCCGGGAAAAACGAAAAGTTAGTCCCGGTTCCAATCGATACTCGATTCTCGATACCCAACCCTATTTATGAGTACTGTGAATTCTGACATATTTCGTAGGGAAGTACAGTATGTGATTTTGAATGCAGCCATAGTTTCTCAGGTAATTTACAGTACAGCTCTTTAGTGTTCATTTATGTAGGTGATTACTTCCATGACCTGACAAAACAGAATCCTGTTTCGACAAATTTAGCACATGTGAAAATAATTTAGCATCTTTAGTGATAATTGTACCGCCTGCAATTTTAATGTTTATAAAGGGAAGAGAAAATGAACAGTTAGGAGTGTGAATCCACAGACAAGAAAATTCCCAAAAGGAATGTCACACGTTAAAATGAGACCATTAGAATTGATCTAGTCTTTTATTATTTATAAAAAAAAGAGAAATCACACACCATAAAAATTACATGTACAAAACTATAAGATCTTAAATTGATTTATGTACAGTTACAAAAGAAAATGGCAAAATAAAAAGTGACCAAACAACTCAAATTAACATGTATACTTGTGCTCCCATTTGAGACTGCTGCCGCCGTCTGTTCGTTGCTTTGGGTCCCATGAGTTTCAGTTCTCACTGGGCAGGAGGGTCATGGATGACGCTGTAAATCCAGTTGAGATGGAGGAGGTGGTGAAGGGCAAATTGATGAAAGTGCAGGAAGCACAGACATGCTGTTTACTTTGTCCCATCTGAGTTTGCTCTCACTGGTGCAGTTTGCATGATTGAATGGGAGGAGGATGATGAATATCTAGAGGAAACAAGAGAGAGAAACAAGATCAGAGCCCTTGACAGAAGGTGTTAGGCGACTGAAGAGATAAGAAAAGACAGCAGCCCTTAGTCATCGTGGAGCTGCTCTCGCAGGTCAGCTAACATACAATTTAGAAGAATGATCCACTTCGATACAATTTAAGCTCTATCGACAGCATTTGTGGCACGATGATTACCAGAGTGAATTTATTTGTATGGAAAAATATCGAGAATTCCATCCGTCTATCTGTCCAACGCTATCTCACGATCAATTCGTATGAATTCATATTTGTGCGATTTGTCTAAACCCACGTGATAAGTAGGTTAAGGGGCGGGGTCAGGGGTAGGTAATTCGTATGAATTCATATGAATTTGGTAACTCGGAAAATATGTACGAATTAGCAAAAATTGTACGAAGCGAGGTCACATGAATTTGTACAAAATAGCCACCTCGAAAAATTTGTACAAATTGCCGTGAGATTGAGTCTGTCTGTCTGTACTGCCGTTCAAACGTTTGGGGTTTTATTTAATAAAAAGTAAAAGAAGAAATTAAAATTTTTAAATAAAAGTAGTAGCTTATGCTCACCAAACATTCATTTGATCAATAATAGAAAAAAAAAAAAAAAAAAACCGAAATATTACTACAATTTAATAACTGTTTTCATTTCACTACATTATTCCAGTAGCCATTTACTACAGGACCAAATGATACTATTTTACTATTTACTTGATATTTTTTGTGGAAAATTGATTCTTTAATGAAAATAACAGCATTTATTTGAAATAGAAATCTGACAAATTAAAATTGGCTATATTACAATATATAAAATATGCATGTAATGTATATATATATATATATATATATATATATATATATATATTCCTGTGGATCTATGGTGGATTACTGTAACACTGTCACTTTTACTTCAATTTGCAAGCATAAATACCAACGCATTCTCACCCCAAGGCGTCACCTTTGACCATGCTTCAATATTTGACGTTTTAGGCGCCCTTTAGCATCACTTACATGACGCGATCCTACGGCGTCATCTAACTGACGCTAAAGGAAAGCGTCAGTTGGAGGACGCGGTTAGGTTTAGGTGTGGGGTGGGGGTAGTGTACACGCGATCCTAGGGCGTCATCTAACTGACGCTAAAGGGCGCCTAAAGCGTCAGATATTGAAGCATGTCCAAATGCTTCCCAAGGCGTCAGTTAAGTGACGCCTTGGGGGTGAGAATGGGCTGTAAATATATACATATGCTAAAAATGAAAGGGCATAGTCAAACAAATTCATCATATGACCAACATTATGACACAAATGCTGTGGACTGAGTTTAACTTCATAGTCTGAAGTCTTCAAAGACCAGAGGGAGTGGATAAAATTGGCTTTCATAAGTGGTGCTTGTGACATCTAAAATTATATTGATCTTATATGCATAAAGGAAAAAAAAAAGGAATCAACAGCAGTGCTGGCATTCTGTCAAATCTATGATGGTGGTCTCCTCTTTGGGCTTCTGGACCCTTTGGATGGGAGAACAGCTGATATAAATGTTAATTTGTTGGCAGGAGCAGCAAACGGTGCCGCCAAGCTTGAGAGGCCATGAAAGCAGCCGGGATTAGACAAAATCTCTGCCTGTGACTCGACCCCATGCCTTTTCTGCTTCTTTCAGATAATGTATTCGCCGACACCAACATTAACAGCTCAACACCTGGACGAGGACCTCCATCCATGCGCTCAGCAAACAACACAATCAGTCTTATATCAAAACCTAAATGAACATCCATCAATATTGATCTAAGCATGTCACAAGTGATTTATTTTTAGCTCGGCCCTGACAAAAGAAAATTCATCGGCATGAATTTGGCCTCTAGAGCGGCCATATGTTCCAAGCAAGCGTGCTCAGCTCCGAGACAGATTCTGAATGTTTCTCACCGCATGTGGCCTCCGAGATGGATCTGTCTGGAGCCTTGTGGCAGAGATGTGATAGAAGACCGAACACACAACTAAAATTATCCAAACACAGCTAAGATCAACAGCTCCAGGCATTTGCATATTAAGTGAAGTTTCTGTTCCTGCTTGGTTTTAATCTCAGCCGTTTTCTTCTCTCACCTACCCAGAAAAAAAAGCCGTGCGGTTCCGGTGTTTAATCTTGTTAGGTGAAAAATTTATGTTTTCAGTTTGGAGTAAACAGACTACTTAAGATATATGGGATGTTATACAAAGACAAAAGATATGCCGGTTGTTCCGGTGAAGAGACTATTTCGAGAATAAGAAAGAAGATAAATTAACTTCAAACTACAATCCCATTGTGTTATAAAAGCTTGATCCCTCAGCTCTTCAAATGCTTGGCCTGAAATCTATTTATAATTCACGGCAATTAAGTCTAGATTTGTTAATATCTTTCGACTGCACTGAAGCGTCTCCTAATTTTTGAAATATACATGTCAACACCAGTGTATTCAAATCAAGTCAAGTCTAGTCAAGTATATTTATATAGTGCTTTTTTTTTACAATACAGATTGCAAAGCAGCTTCAATCACAGTATCAATCAAAACATAAAAACAATGTTCGTTTCTTAGTGGAAAAACATCCACGTTTGGTGGAGATGATCAAGGGTATTACTGATTGGTTAATTAATTTGAATATCCCCAACTGAGCAAGCCAAAGACAACGAACCGAAAAACTACGTCAAGTGACCTAATGGTGTCCTAAAACTCAAAAATTTTGGGTCTGTAAAAATTTTAAAAAAATATATATTTTTATTTTTCAGCAAGGATGCATCAAATTAACGAAAAAAATGACGGTAAATACACTTATATAATATTTCAAAAGTTTTATATTTCAATTAAATGCTGTTCTTTTCATCTTTTCATCACAGAATCATGTTTGTACAAAAAAAGCAGCAAATTAGCATATTAGAATGATTTCTGAAGGATCATGTGACTGAAGGCTGGATGGAGTAATAGAAAGCAGATATTTTACGTTGCGGTTATATTACAGTTTTAACTGTATTTTTTTAATCAAATAAATGTAGCTTTGGTGGATTTCTTTCAAAAATATGAAAAATATTACCTACCCCAAACTTTTGAATGGTTGTGTAAATATATATTTTATTTTATTTGTGAACAAAAGTACACATTTAAAAGCATCTTGTTCTTTTTACAACAGTTTTCTTCTGTTGGCGGTGCAATTTCTTTAAATCAGCCAATCGAGAGGACCTTTTCAAGACTAATCCATGTTTAAATTAAATTGGTGAAGAACTATACTAAACCCGTGAAAATGATGAAAACTTTCGCGTAAACACGTCCAATATTTTTCATCAGAAAACGAGGACGGCATTCAGCACTCTTATTACTTGGGTTCGGCTGCCATTATAAGCTTTCATTATGAGTTATATTGGCGCACCTTGTTTCTCGTCAGCACTATTGATTCTGCAATTGAGTCCAGCCTGACCATTAGATATCAAATAAAGGAGTCTTTCAATGGATTTTGTGCAAACCCAGGAGCAAACAGTGAATGACAGTTGGGCATAAATCACAGAAGCTCTTTAATAAAACAGCAGCCTGTCATGCAAATGACACACAGGGGAATGACAGCCACATCATTTTCCAAAAGAGAGAGATAAGTAAACTCCATTTCAAATCTAATCACTTTCATGCTAACCCATTTAATCGACGCACACACTTGCATGTACGTGTATGGAAGAATAGATATATGCATAATGTTCATCTTATTCTGCATACACTGAGTGTAAACAATTTAAAAAAAAAAATGAGACTAAAAAATGCTACAGTAAAACCGTCTCGGGTTACAACTGAGAAGGGAACGAGAAACTGCGTTGACTACAACACTTTGAGGAACGCCCCCCAGCATGAATGAAACTAAGCCAATCTTGATTGGTGTTGCGTCATGAAAAAGGGACAAAAGGACGCCGGCACACAACAGCGTCAGCTTCTGTAATGAAGCAAGTCGCTTCCAGGCAGGGGAAGGCGTGGCAAAGGTACGCAGTGTCTCGTTCCCTTCTCAGGTAACCCGAGATGTTCCCTTTAGAAGGAACTCGAACTGCGTCGACTACGACACTTTGGGGAACAAGTATACCCACTATGCCACAACGGGCCTTGCTTGTTCCAGTGTGAAGCTGTGCACAGGCACACGTAGGACGGGTGCCAGGCGAAGGGATAACCAGGGGAAAACCCCTTGGTTTTCAACCACCACTGCAAGGCCCCTTTGAGCCCTAACACTCTCTGAAAATGCTTGGCCTAGCTTTATCCTGGTTACCGTGGCCAGGATGGACTCGATCAGTGCAGGAGACAATTGTTCCCACGTCGTGACTGATTCCCACACCACTCACAGGAACATGGTTCTCTGGGCTGGTGCCAATACGCTCTTTTTCATGCTGAGACTCAACCCCAGGCTCTGAATGTGGGCAAGGATGACATCTCGATGCCGAACTGCCAGCTCTTGTGACTGGGCCATATTAAGCAAGTGGTTGATATAATTTAGCACCCTGATACCCTGAAGCCTCAGGGGAGCTAATGCTACATCCATACATTTGGTAAAAGTGCAAGGGGAGAGAGCTAGGCCAAACAGAAGAACCCAATATTGGTACGCTTCGCCCCCGAAAGCAAACTTCAGGAACTTCCTGCATGTGAGATGGAAGGATGGATACGTGGAAGTATGCGTCTTCAGATCTATCGTGACAAACCAATCCTTGGATTGAATTTGATTCAAAATGATGGGAATGGTGAGCATCCTGAACCTGAAACTCCTCAGAGACAGATTCAAGTGCCTGAGATCTATTATTGGACCCCCCATCCCCCCTTCTAGAGAACTATGAAGTCATCATCATGAAAGAAAGCCAGACGGGAGCACAGCACTTAGATCAGTAGCTCTCGAGGGGGCGTGCAATTGGTGTGTGTCCCCACCCATGATATAACGAGGTCATGGATGCACTATATATATATATATATATATATATATATATATATGTATGCTTGTGTACTGGCAGACAACATCAGATAAGAAACACATGACAGACAGACTTGCTGAAGAAAGACTTGCTGGGTGGTGGTGATGGCGCAGTGGATAAGACACATGCCTTTGGTGTGAGCGACCTGGGTTCAAATCCAATGTGAGACACCAATGTGTCCCTGAGCAAGACACTTAACCCCTAGTTGCTCCAGAGGCGTGCGACCTCTGACATATATAGCAATTGTAAGTCGCTTTGGATAAAAGCGGCAGCTAAATGAATAAATGTAAATGTAATGTAAATGTAAGAACAGAAACCTGACGCTATTGTGTGCCGGCGCCCCTTTGTAGCTTCCGTATATCCTGTCACACGTTACATCACGACGCGACACCAATCATAATTGGCTTAGTTTCATTCATGCTTCAGAGGCGCTACGCTGGGGGGCGTTCCCCAAAGTGTCGTAGTCGACGCGGTTCGAGTTCCCTCAAAAGCTGTTAATTAGTGAACTGTTTGTTACTTTTTCACATGGCAGAAACATTCTAAACTGTTAAACGTTGCATTATATATATATATATATATAATTTCACTGATATTTTACTGACATTCTGAATAATCTATCAATTTTCCAAACCGTCTGTCCTACGTAAGGAGCTATCAATAAAATTAAATACAATTTAAATAAAATAATGACTTTTTGGAAGTAAAAACTATGAATTATAGGCCTATGTATAGCTAGTTTTAAAGTAAAAAAGAGCCTGATCCCATGAAAGTTCGTATCTATAGCACAAATGTCATTTCTCGTGCCATTTATATGCCAAAAATATATATTTTTTCGTGTATATGGTACGCGTTTTTCGCATGGTACGTGCTTTATGGCATATAATACGCACGAACTCCCCACTCCCCTCCCCCCTAAACCTACCCAAGGGGTTTTCAGTGCGTAGCATATGCACACAAAAAAACATTTTTGGCGTAAAAATGCCACAAGAAATGGCATTCGTGGTATAGATACGCACTTTCATGAGACTGTGTTGGTAAAAACAGTCAAATAACATTCCCAGAAGTGGCTGCGTGACACATCACATGAGTATATATATTCATTATATTTTTATTATTAGTAATGCACCATGTTATGTTGCATTTTCTGTTAATGTGTATTGCAGTATTTTTTTTTAGTGTTGTGTGTAACCCTGATTGTTGTTAGTGTGTATGACACTGTTTAAATAGGAGTGTTGGCATAATCTGATTCATCATTTTGCTTTCTATTTTGTCATCTGTGTTATAATGGTGGTAATCAGATACGTTTAGGTAAAAAAAAACCCAAGCAGATTTTGTCCAAGTAGCTTTTTACATTAACATTATATCGCTTACTGATCTGGTTATAAAATACAGCGCCAATACAGTATATGCCATCCTGAAAAAAGTTAAAATTAGGGGAAATCTCACCTGTAAATTCGTGAAAAGATGCTTAATCACCAGTAACCCGGTGCATTCAAATAAAAATTGGAAAACTCTCAATTTTGGTGAATGTTTCACATTACTGGAAAGTGAAATAACAGACATATTAACATTGTGAATAATCCATCAAGATTCCAAACCATCCTTCTTTTGAAAATTAAATGTATTTCTTCAAATCACAAGCCATGGAATGTGGGCATTACATCCTGGCTGTTGCAATATTCGGAAAGTCCTTAAAATCCAGTGTGACCACCTCCGAATGAAACAAGTTTTGAAGAAGTCAATGTGGGCGACCATTTAGATCCATCTGGTTAATCTAAGCACTGAGTAAATTGGCGTTTTCTCTGACCCTATGAGGGGAGCATCTGGGCTTATTGAAAGGGCAAATTCGTGAGTCATTATATGTTTCATTCCTAATTTCAATCAGCCAGAAAAAACAAGCTGAAGGGTCTCAAAGAAAACAAAACATTAGCAACAAAACCATCACCGAACCGTTAATTTCCAAGAACTCGGCTGTACTATGTGATTAACAATGTTGTGGTAATTACTAATTGCGGAGTACTTATCTCAAAGAGGTGGAAGGTGGAACAAAGAATTAAGGTATCAGCAAACATCCCCTCTGGGTGAGCAGACAGAGGCCAGATAACATCGCTGTGTTCACAGAAAACAAATCACAAGAACAGCTAATTAAAACAGCAGAAACTATGTTTTTCACAATTCCAATCCAATCCAACATTGGTAAAGGACATTTCAAGGTCTTTACCATGAGCCAAACGGTCTAAACCAGAGGTGCGATTGCATTTCCAATCCCGATATGATTCATTATTACATATCAATATTTAAAACTGCTCTTGTAAGTACAATTTCTGTTTTAATGGCCTTTCTGTGATTAAATGGCAAATAAGTAATCAAAACGGACAACCTGCATAAGCGTCTGTGGCAGCAAAATGTGTTCAGTGAGATTATCGCTGTGTCATCGGCATGGAGAAGTGATTAGTCACGTAATGATTTTTTAATTGGCGAAGAAATGAGGCTTGACAAGTCAAAACGAAATGCTAAGTGTGGCGAAGGGGTGCCAACAACTAAAATACTGTGTAATTGCAGTTCAGTTGGACTATTTTAGTTTTAAATATAACAACTTAGATGCACCACTGAGAGATGAAGGTCTGAACAGGGTTGGAAAGATCAGACATAGAAAGTGTATATTATTTTAGCAGCATTTCTCCAGTCTTCAGTGTCACATGATCGTTCAGACATCATATTATCTTGATTTGCTGCTCAGGTAACATTATCATCAATGTTGAAAACTAACTTCGCCCAAACATTTAAACAGTAATGTACAATGAATGTCACAGTAAGAAATGACTGGTCAATTTTCTCTCAGCTTGTTAGATGCCTGAAGACCTATATGTAGATAGTTTGTCAATCAAGATCACAGAGGCAGATCTCAGTCGACAACAGCTAGGTTCGATTCACAGCTGCATTGAAACAGGGGAATAAACATCTCAATCCATCTTAACTTTGCATTTCGAACTTTTAACTGCTCTCGTTTCTCAAAGTCATGGAAAGCAGGTGCTTTGATTCTGGGATCAATAGCCATGTGAAGCGCCAATCGTTGGCCTGTCAATTTATCCTTGTCGGCTCCTTTAACAGGAAGACTTTTAAACAGAATCCCACTGATTGGGTATGACATCGGCATCAAACACCTTTCTTAGGTCACAGACAGCCAGGCCACACGTGTCATACAATTCAATCAATATTTCATCAAGAGAGTTGCAACTTAATCGACAGCTGAAGTTTCTGAGTGCTGTTTATTCTCTGACACATTGTGTCACCATTAAGTATTAAAACAAAAAGGATTATATTACACATAAATGTATATTTACAGGAGAATAAACATATGTATATATATATTCCTATTTCCTTAATATCCTAACTAATTCTGCTTCTTATGTAAATTTCTCTTGATTTAAGAATTTTTATATATCTGTACTGGAAAATCCTGAGTAAATAAAATATTATTATTTTTTTGCAGCGAACAGTGAAAGTGCCTCCAGGAACATCCAAATCTTCATTTACACTGTTAAAAAAATAAAACTTACTTTTGAAGTTATCAAAAATAAAAAATGACTAGAGTACTTTTTACAAGAAAATAGTAGTTATTTCTATAACTTCAAAAATGCATGTTTAATTCACTGTTATCTGTAGATTTTTTTTATTTATTTCTGAAATTATAAACTATAACTTTTTTTGTTGTTGTTGACGTGCTATTTCGATGGATTGTCAAGTGTCTGAGTAACATTCCCTGGTGCATTTGGCTTGCGTGCAGCATCCTATGTATTTCTTTTGAGATGCCGTCAAACCTCTGTTCTGACGTCACCAAGCATGAATGGTGAGGGAATTTTTAGCAACAGTTAAAATAAAAATACCAGTATGATCAAATAATTCATGAGGATGTTGTGCAGTTACTGAGCTTGAATACAATCCTCATAGGCTATCCACTGTGCAACAACTATGCTTTTGAGTCACCTTAACTGTAATGTAAATGATGAACTGTGAATGGCTCCATTATAACCTCTGCTTGACATCTAGTCTTAAATGGGGAAAATGTACATACTTGGCATTTACTATGGCCTTATGTTGGCATTTGTTTGCAGTCAGGGGTGATACTTGGAGATGAAAGGTACTGATTATGCAACACAAACAAGTTAATTATATTTCCACATGAGTGATCATGAGTTTTGGTAGAGCTTACATGAAGCTGAGGTGCAAGACATTAGCTGATAACCTCAGGACAGACACAGCAATGTCAACACAACACAAGAGCTGAGAGCAAGCTTCCTAATCACTGACTCTGATCTCTTTTGAGTGAGCAAACCTTTACTCTCACACAACGCGAGATCCGAGCCACTATTATTTATTGCAACGCATACCTTAAATCTATTCTACGCGCTTCCTCGGCAAACGCGAGATCCCAGTCACAGAATCTTTATTGCAGAGTAAACTCGTAATCTACACGCTGCCTCGGCAAACGCAAGATCCGAGCCAATATAGATTCTTTATTGCAATGCAAATCTACGCGCTGCCTCGGCAAACGCGGGATACCAGTCACAGCATCTTTATTGCTGAGTAGACTCGTCTACACGCTGCCTCGGCAAACGCGAGATCCGAGCCACTAGATTCCATATTGCAATAATTCAGGACAATTCTTATGGGACAAACAACACCAAATAAGACAGACAGTTTGACACAGAGCGCTTGCTGACGAACAAAAAGCTGACGTCTCATGCGTGCCGGGTCCTTATATAGCTTCCGCCTATGTGCCGTCACACATTATGTCATGACGCACCACCAATCAGAGATTGGCTTAGTTTCAATAGGCTTGTTTGAGATGCGCCTTGCCTCGCCTGAAATGTATGCTGCGTCCCAATTCGCATACTATCCGTCCTAAATACTATTCGAAAATAGAATTAGTGCGTCCCAAACCGTAGTATGTTGAAATGAGTGTTTCAAAGATACCCGGATGGTCTACTTTTTCCGGTCAGAATCCGAAGTGTAAATCGATGCACACTCTTAGGGCTGATATTGCCCACAACTAATTGCGCGTTGGACGAGGATTCGAGTAAAAAAGTGTAAAAAAAAAAATAAAAAAATAAAAAAAAAAAATAAAAAAAAACTACAGACACGGAGGTCGCGCGAGTCCCGCGGTTATTTATGTTGAGAGGTTTAGATAAAGAGGTTTGAGTGATTAATTATCACTATCTAACCTAACGAAAATAATTTATTCAATGTTCTCCACATTAAATTGCATCTGCAGCAGCATTGTGAACATTTGTAAGGATACATTTAGCCATTACTTTTTAAATGCATCATTATATTCAAATAGCAAAACACGAGGAAAGTATCCGCATTAAAGACCCACGATTGGCAAATGAACGTGCTCCCGAAACAGTAGGAAATCAAATTAGATTGAATGGTGGATTTTAACTGTGACAAGATGATTGACAGGGCAGTTTATGGTGACATGATGCACGCAGCACGCGACAGAGATGTCCGTTAAAGATGACGTGATAGTGCCCCAGACAGCAAACTGACATTGAATCAACGTGGAAACGACGTCTCTCATGACATTGAAACAACGTTGATTTTGCTCATCGAATTAACGTTGAACCAACGTCAGACGCGGCATTCTTCAAAGCTAAATGAAAATCGAAAATTGGTTTGCTTTCATAACGTTGAAACAACGCGTTGATTTCAAGTTGATTTTCCGTTAGTTTTGAAAGAATGATGCGTCTGACGTTGGTTCAACGTTAATTCGATGAGCAAAACAATGTCAGATCAACGTTGTTTCGATGTCATATTTTCACGTTGATTCAATGTCATTTTGCTATCTGGGGCGTCCCAAAGCTTGCCTACTCTTTTGCTACACACTCAAAAGTATGTACTTTTTCTTCACAAAAAGAGTACTTTTAGGGCGTAGTATAAGTAAGCGAATTGGGACGCAGGGGTAGTCGAGAGTAGGCGGCTGCTGTGAGAGGAATAGTGAAAAAAATCGCAGGCAAGCCAGACAAATTTTGGTTCTTGCAGTGGATCAGGCACCTGTGAGGTCAAAGACTGATATCACGGGATTCACGCTCGTGCACGTGTTGCTAATAAACTGGATGTGATTTAAGTTCTGTTGCTTTCATATGAAAATAAATATAATGAACAAGACACCCAAAGTACTTGTTATTTAATTACAATCCAAATATGTGTTTATCACTCTTTTTTTTTTCTTTAATGCAAATTAGTAAAAATGACATCACGTAATAACCCATATGGCACTGTCAGAGAGTTTTCACCCATATGTATACACATAAAACATGATATCAGTTTTAAAATCATGGAGAGCAACTGCGCTCAACTGCAGAATCCGACACTTCCGACTTGCGCTTGCGAGAATTTTTTGACATACTGCACATCGGCATGACATCTGAGCCAGGCGGTGCGCTCTCAGACACATTTCTAACCCGCATGCATCACCGGTGATCGGTTCTGTGCAGATTTTGCTCATCTCAAACAAGCCTATTCATAGGCGCTACGCTGAGGGGCGTTCTCCCGAAGTGTCATTTGACGCAGTTTGAGTCCCCTCGAAAGGGAACTGAATTTTAATGGAGCCTTGCTATTATATTTAAAGGGATAGTTCACTTTTAAATTAATTTTTTGTAATGTTTTAGCTTACCTCAAGGGCATTCAAGAGATGCATGTGTCTTTGTTTCCACAGCAGTTTCAATTTTGGTAATTTTAGGTCAAACCTTTCTTATCTGTCAGTCATATAATGGAGGTCTACGGTCACCACCTCAAAGAGCATGCACAGAAAAGTCCAAATTGAACATGATAACATGGTTACAAGAGGTAAAAACTATATAAATACTGTCTGTGAATACTGAATACTGCACTACTGCATTTGTTTTAATGTTTTGATTTGAAAACTAGATTGAATTTGAAGAATTGCAATAACTTTGATTTCTATTATGTTTGTGTAAGATGAGCCCATCACATACAAAAGCATTATTGAGAACATAACATTCTACATATTTTTATTGACAAAAAACATTTTATGTTGTTAAACCAGTGAGAACAATTGTGAGAATTTTGATGTATTGCATGTTGATAGAATGTAAAATGTTAGACCCATTCAACTTTAAGGGAATGTTTCAGTTTGCATTAGCAGAGACACGTTTAAGGTGAATATTCGCTTTCCAAAAGAGCAAGTGTATACTCACCCCTTCCAGTGAGGTGTTATTCTCGAACCCAAACCGTCCAGTAAACAATGCATACTGAAGTCGGCAGCAAACACATAGACAGTCCCGGCCGCGGGGTGTAAAAGGCAATATGTTCCAAAAGCCAGCAATGGAGAACATTTATTGTGCTCCGTTTTCCATTCGTTGCAGTAGTGGATTGAGTCCTCAAATGTGTCCTGGTAGGAAACGGTTGGATAGTCCTTGGAATACAGTGTGAGAAGTGAACACTCAAGGGAGAAAGTCCAGCAGGGGTTCAGACAAATTATTCCATATTCCTCTCCCCATAATCAGATGACCTGGCGTGCTCTGAGGTGGGTTGGAAACAGAGAGAGAGAGAGAGATACAAAGAGAGAGGCCAACAATAAACAAAACAGTTTCAAAACCCAAATGAAGAGCAGATGTCTCAGCTGGTAGTGCAGATTTTTTTTTTTTTGGAAATACAAACCAGAATAGAGAACAAGTGCATCTGTCACACTACACAGAACAGAGATGAAACAGAGCTGTCATATGCACCAGACATGCCTTCAGAAACGACGCCAGAACCCGTGTAAAAAAAACAACAAAAAACTGTAGTATCTGAGTCCTATAGCTTCATCTCAGGGGGTTTCCAGTCTCTTACAGCAACGTTTTGACCATTTACAAAAATAAATGAACTTTATAAAATTCCACATAGCAGATGATTTTAGAAGAAGTAAAAAAGAAAGGTGGCATTACTCTTCAGGGATGATGGCTGTCCTTTACGGGACAGCGGAAGGAGTCATCAAATTTTAAAGTCGCTCCAATCTCGTTGAACTCTCTTCTCGTCACTGACCTGTGGGCTTGCGGTGTCTAGGGAAGACAGAAAAACAGCCGTGAGGGACGGGTAGGACTGTGCTAGTGACAAGACAGAGGGGTCTCGCGCCTCTCTCAATGGGAGTCTATATGGCGGAGGTGAAGGACAACAGCCGGTCTGTGCTGGCAGAAGGCCTAGCTGATCTTCTCTACTACCACAACTACAATATAATGTGGCACAGAATAGATAAATAAGGGATAATATTCATTCAGCTGATTGTGAAAATGAGATGAAGACTGACAAGGTGATCGGGAGGCAGAATAAACCCTGAAATGCGATACCAAAATATGGTAGTAATACTGATACAATATTTTACTTGTATCCCACTTATGTGGCTAAACGCAATAAATACATAGACTTGACTTTTTGTGGCACTTAATTATAATAAATGTATCCTTCAAATCTTAAAAGTACGTTTATTTTTTATTATACAGAATTAATGAAATTGCATGCTGCTTAAGTGTGCTTCAAGAGTACACTTTCTTGCCTGTTTCTTAAAGGATTCAATAGTCCCCAGTCACTCGGAGTTACGTCAGATGTCTCCGTTTTCTGATCTTTGTAATTATGCCAAACTAAAAGTCATCAGTTTAAATCATTGTTTTATTAATATTTTGTTGAGTTAAAAAGTTATTTATTAAAATAGTTATTATGTGAATGTAACATATAAATGTACATGTAAAGTACATGATAATAATTTTAATTTAGCATGTCATATGTCAAGACAGATGACACCATACTTTATCATACATTTCCGTTAGTACATTTGGAAGGTCACGTGAACCATATGACATGTAAAGATGCACTTAAGTTGATTAATTTCACAAACTACAATTTCATGCAAGTTTACTATACATTTTCAATTTATTGCAATGAAGTGTCTGAGAAAACATTTCATTGAGTTTGCATTTGAGTATATTATTTCCATAATAAGTACTCTTTTTAAAATGATGCTAAAGTCAAGTGTACAAATGAGTGCTGAGATATGAGACTAGTAAGCTGCTATCACAGAACAGGGACAAGGGTCAAATATACAACTGGAACTGACCAATCAAGATCAAATATTCCTGAGAGCCGTGTAATCCTGACTCTTCTGCAGTGCCAAAAGAAATTTTCTGCTGGTACGAAGTCTTTTGATTTACAAGCAAACGTCTTTCAGATGTCAAGATCTGTCACTACTTGCTGTTCAACTAATCAGCAAACTGTTTGTTGCACATGTAGATCAGAAAGTAAATACAACATAGCATTCCATAGACGGATTCCTCTGATGTATTATGTAATGCACAAAGCCATTTTGTATCACTCCATGTTGTTTATCGACCGTGTGTTGGTGGGATGCCATTTTTGGATCAGTAGCATACAGAAATGGAATCCTGTGAGGTAGATGTTGAGGCTTTTAAATCCAATATTTTGTTTTGTTAAGCTGTGAAAACTTATGTTAGGTAAGGTATGATCAGAAATACAATTAACATATTAGCATGACAAGTAACATGAGTATCAAATATCTGTGCGTATTAAGTCAATTCATATGACATTGTTATTTGATATAATCAGCTCATACTACAATTCACACAGTAGTAAAACAATTTATAATTTTAAAAATTTCCAAAAACATACTGTGTTGATATACTATATGATTATCCCTATTACAGAACAAAAAATATTCTCAATGAAGTGACTATTTGGACTCTTTCTAAATAAAAAAGTCAGCCAATAATAATAATAATAATAATACAATTTTCCCAATTTTTTATACAAATTATAGATTTGATGCACTGTAAAAAAATATTGTTGGTTTAACTTAAAAAAAAGTAAGTAACCTGGTTGCCTTAAAATTTTAAATTCATTGAACTGGAAAAAGTGAGTTAATACAAAGAAGGAGATTGATTTAATCATCAGAAACTCAAAATACTAAGTTATCTGAACTAAATAAATTATTTGAGTTGATTTGACAAAAGAAAAAATGTTGTGATAACAAATCTTGAAAATATTTTTTTTACAGTGTACACCAGGCTCAACATTCAACCCAATTATTAAAACTATTGTAAGAAAAATGAGTTACATACTATCCACACATATGTTTTTCTTATATATATACTGTGTGTATATATATATATATATATATATATATATATATATATATACGTGGTACAGGGTTGAAACTAATCAGAAACCACATATAAATTTATATTATATAAAATAGCAAATATTATGCACATATAGTATTCTACTATCAACTCAAGTTGTCTATGAATATCATGAGGTTAAGCCTCTAATTTTTCTGACCATTAACTAAAAAAGCTAAAGAGTTAGCAACTGAAAGAGCCTGTCTGAGTCATCATGCTCCTTCTGACATAATACATTTTCATTCACATCCTGCGCCAATTTTGTTGATTGATGATTGCAATTAATTTGTGGTCATTACATGTCTGAGTGACTGACGGGATCGGGAGACTCATGGAAGTCCAGCCTTCTGCATCACCAGCTCTTGACTGAATGGACTTTATCGATTTAAGGATGAGGTCCTCTTGAATTCCACGAGCATTCACCTAGACTCTAAAGACTGCAATTACCTGATTGGACCCATAAATCCAAATTCCACAAAGGGAAAAGCTCTTCAAGGAATACCTGGACGTGGCCCATTGAATTAGGTGAATAGCTCTATTCCTGGCAATTACAGAAGTCTCTCTCTCTCTCTATATATATACAGTGCAATTACCTGAAAGCAACCTTAAAGTCCCCATGAAATCAAAATTGACCATACTTACTTTGTTTGCCTAAATTGATCGTTTTGTGGTGAACAATTCATACATGCAAGTCAATCCACACAAAAAAATGTTTTGGCTTCGTAATCTTTAATCAAATTTTGAAAATGCCCCTCCCCTCTGCATTGGAGGACCTTGCCCGATGACGTAGGCTTTTCGGTTTGGGTGTCTCCTCCTTAACATCTACAACCACGCCCCTCCAACTGACAGCTGCTGTGTGTTTGCGAGCGCCGAGCGAGCATTGATTGACAGCGTCATCCTCCATTTCAGAATGAAACACCCATTTTTCTAGATCCAATCAGGTGCTAGTTGGAAAAAAAGCCACGCCCACTATTTTGCCTCATTTAGTATTCCGTTTCTCTCTGAAATACGTCACAACACTGGAGAAAAGTAGTTTGCAATTTCCGGTTCACGGGGACTTTAAGCATTTTAAATCAAACGATTTGCCTTTGGTTTTGGTGTGCTTGCTGTTGTCTGGTACCTAAAACGGTATTACTGTAACTAACGCCGGGTACACACTGCACAATTTTCCAAGTCATCGGATCGCTGTGCTTCTCACACTACACAACTGTCTGGGGTACCATTTAGTTGCTTCTAGTTGCTCACAGTACGCAACATTTTGATATAATCACTTTGTCTGGTGTACAAACTACATTTCACAACCAAACACAAGCAAGAATGGAGACAAGAAATAATGAAGCTCAGAATAAACATATAAAGCTCCAACTCAATCTGGAACGGCATTAAAACAAACCATTTACCATTGCCCATACCTCTGGAATCCTTCTGAAGTCCATAAAGAGATGCAAACAAGCTGTTGAAAGTATTTGCCAACATCTGGAGTAGGCAAATGTCGGCCGTCAACTGGATGCGACTGGGAGGTCACCTATGACTTGCTCTTGCAATTATTCATTAGACGTCATGGATCACGCATTAAAAAGAGACATTTTTGGAGCTTTACGAAATAAATGCTTTGTTTTTAATAAGGAGCATGTTTTAAAGGCACACTATGCAAGATTTGTACCTTAATATAACAGCTTCAAAGTCGTTTCGGTGGTAAACATAGTCATAGTAGGGCGAATCATCCTGGTAGTAAAGCTGGTGGGGACGCCGCCGGAAAAAAACAGCAATGCAATTTGAGAGCGGCGCCCCTGACAAATCTCGCAAGAATCACAAAATGCTTTACGGCAACTGTATGAAGTATGAAGCTACTTTCGTGCATCCAAGAAAACTTGGCTACTCAGAAACGTACACATGATGCAACAGCGATGCTGACCTGGTGATCTTGTTGATGGACTTCTCTTAAAATCTCTTATTTGTAAACTTGTACGTGTTCTTTTGTATGTTGCTGCGCTGGCTTGTAGTATGACATTTTTTTACGGTGCTGTTCATTCATCCATTGTTGATAATTAGACCAGTTCAATAATTCCCAAGTCTAGCAAGCTTTCGATTACCAGAGCAAATGAAATTATACATTAGTCCTACACTATAGGCCATTTACTTTTGATTTAGCAGAAATCATGTAAAAACGACTTTATTATTATAAAGTAGTTTAACACTTGACATTTAGTTATTATCATCAGTAGTTCAGTAGACTGTGCAGTAACAGGGGAGTTACGGTTATTTACGACAGTGCACTTGCAAAATACACCACAGCGGCTCTAGGGGTCGCTGTTTCACAAAAACATCAGAGCTTTATAGTGTGGCTTTAAAGGGGGCTTTTTCCATGTTTAAGTGCTATAATCGAGTAATCCAGATAATGTGAAAAGTGACAACCCAGAAACTTTGTTTTGGTAAGCCTTTCTCTGCAAGCATGGGAAAAAAATAAGCCATTCAGATTTCGCTCCCCTTGTGATGTAGGAAGGGGATCTTATTATAATATTACCGCCCCTTAATCTGCACGTTTCCACCCAATGTATGCAATGACAACAATGTCATCAGTTCTAACACAATGGTAAACGTTTGAGCAAAGTATGCAAACTGTTCTATCGTTGCTGCACAGAACACTACTGTATGTCCCAGCCAGTGTTGTAGTCGAGACCACCTCACTCGAGTCCGAGTCGAGTCCGAGACCAGAGACGGTCGAGTCCGAGTCGAGACCAGTGAGGGTTGATTTGATTACCTAATTTAATTAGAGAAATCCTTTTTTTTTTTCTTTTTTTTTTTTTTACTGAATTTACTTAGAGTTTAAAAAATATGATCAGTTTAGGGTAAAAAGGCCACATAGTAGGTGGTGTTAAAAGTAATTTTATTACAATTTGTCATGCGCAGTTGCGCACTAGAAAATCACCAATCACTGGGCGTGTCAATCAATTTAAAGAAATATTTTATTAACATACATTAATAATCATGAAAAATATTTTGAATTGAACTCGAGTGGACTCGGGAATAAGTCCGAGTCCTAAAAAAAAAATGTTCGAGTACGAGTCAATTCCGAGTCCAAATGCACATGAGTCCATGACAAGACCAAGACCATTAAAATATGGTCTCGAGTCCGAGACGAGTCCGAGTCTCGAGTACTACAACACAGGTCCCAGCATCAGAGGAGACAAGAGAGCAGTGGATTTATTTTATTTTCAATGGAAATCCCCCTAAAACAGTAAGCAAAAACCTGCTCGTGTGGGTTAATCACTTCAAGCCGGAGTACTTTCGCAACCTTGGACAGTACAAAGCAGGATTTGCTTCAGAGTTAAATCAATGTAAATCCACAACAGCTACATAAATGTATCCACTAACCGTCCAGGTGCATCTAAAGGTTACAACCTCTTTCTGAGTCTCTTTGTAAGGCTGCACTACGCTACTGGTTATTTCTGAGATTTTGGATGAGTGAGATTATTCGCGTTTTGTTTTTAGCTCGTGTAAAAGGATCGGCACTCTTCTAAACGGAGGCGGGGAGCAGCAGCTCATTTACATTTAAAGGGACACACACAAAAAGCGGCAAATTTGACAAGCTGTAAGAAATTATCTTCAGGGTTAATTTGAGCTGAAATTCTAGGTATTCTAGGGACACCATAGATTTACATTATCAATATACTGTATGCCACCTTTAAGGTATGAAACTTTTAATGGGACCTCTTTTATGTCAAATATCAATGCAAATTTGATCTCTCATGTCTTGACCTCTTTAACAAATGTAACCATTTTCTCAAGCGCTACCACATTTTCTTTGACTTACCTACTTGTGTGTCCGTTGTGCTTGTACCCTCTTTTGAGGACAGCGAAGGACGTCTCTTGAGCTCTATACAAGTTCTGGGATGGTGCCTTTGTGAGGGGGAGACTATGTCCTCACAGGTCATCTCTGAAATCTGCACAGCTGTCTCAGAGTCTGTGACCAGCACCATGGCAGTGGAGTCTTTTAAACTAGCGGTGGCCCCAGCGGCAGCCCCTAAACCCGCTCCCGAGCTCTCCTGGGGCTCTACGATTTTGGAGCTGGAGCGCGGGACCTGTCCCGCCGCTTGACCCCCGTTCGTTTGCGAGCGCACGTTCGTCATGGCGGTTCCCTTTCCAGAATCTGCCCCCTGATGGCTATAGACTTTATATCGGATCATGAGGATGATGATGAAAACGAGGACGGAGGCCACGATGATCCCTCCGATGATGATGATCATGGTGCCGCCCAGGAAATGGCTTCGGAGCGACTGGCACTGGCTGTACTCGGTCTCCGTGACGAATGAGACGCAGCCCACCTGGCGCGTGGCGGTCAGCGAGGTCACGCCGTCGTCGTACACGGCCAGAACGCAGAGGTCATACTCTCGTCCGGATACGAGGTCTCGCACCAGGAAGTCGTAACTCGTGGAGGGAATCATTCTGCAAGAGAGGCAGGGAAGAGTTGAACATTATCATGTATTCCTCAGATAATACATGAATATAATTAAGATTAGCCAGCATGTGCATGTATTATCTATGGCCACATGATCACTGTAGAGAAACTTGAGTAATTATATCATAATTTTGAATATTATGGACATTATGTTAATTATGAATTTAATATACTGCAATGCAAGTTCTAGTCATTGCAGAACTACTTCCCATCATGAAATACAGTGCAGGCAAAAATGTACTCTTTATTAAAAGGCTCCATCAACATAAAGTCAAAATCAATACCCAAGATATTACATTGGTTTCCAATAAAATGTACAACTTGAATAAGGTATGCTGCGAGTGCAATGAAAATCTATAGGTGCAGGTGTATAAATATGTTAGAGACTCTTCCCCGGAAAATCTTTTGTTGGCGTGGGGGTTGTTATACATATTAATATATCATGTATCTTATACATGTATTCATTTTAGCACATTTTATCAGACACTGCACTAAGATCACAACAGACCAATTTTGATCGGATTTGTCTGTTTTGTTATTATAATTTACTGTGCAATTACTGAGACAGTTTGGAAAATACATTATTTGTAGGCATGTATTGATCTGATTTGCATATACTACAGACAGTGTGTGTCTTTAGTATTGCTTTTAAAGGGATAGTTCACCCAAAAATAAAAATTCTGTCAGTATTAACTCACCCTCAAGTTGTTCCAAAGCTCTATGTGTTTATTTGTTCTGCTGAACACACAGGAAGATATTTGGAAGAATGTTTTAATCAAACAGATCTCATTCCCCATTGACTACCATAGTATGTATTTTTTCCTACTATGGTAGTCAATGGGGAATGAGATCTGTTTGATTAAAACATTCTTCCAAATATCTTCCTTTGTGTTCAGCAGAACAAATAAACACATAGAGCTTTGGAACAACTTGAGGGTGAGTAAATAATGACAGAATTTTCATTTTTGGGTGAACTATCCCTTTAAAATTATTACAATTATATTTTTATGGGACACCGATGGAGAACTATGGTATCCATAACACAGAGCTCAACAGTCATTAGATTCAGTTCAGATAAATCCTGGTTCATGTTAATCTGTGCATTTTCAAGCACCATTACTGTACATAATAATCCCACATATCATGACTAAGCATCAAAAAGACCATTACAAGTCGTGGCATACCAGGGTTAATCTCAGTGCAAATCCATTGATATTAATATAGCACATCTGTATTACACTGCGTGTACAGTATACATTAAATGTACTTTGAGGGATATTTTAGCATTAACTTTATAATCTTATGTCAGATTACTTGCATAGTACTGCTTGTAAAAATAAATTACTTGCTTTTATGAGTGCTTCTCATGCCAAAAAAAAAAACTAAGTTCTGTCATGAAACTCTAGATGGCACGGCTGATCCTTAACTCAATCTGCTTGCGCTTACATCATCCTCTGTATGATAAGGAATCTGATTGGTTCCTTCTGTATCAGCAGCCAATGAGCTTGCTGCTCAACTTTCAAATACTTGAATACTACTTTCAAATGCAATACCCTTCAGAAACCCTGCGCTTTCAGAAACCCTCCACCTTCCCCAGCTCCACCTGTATAGATCTGCTACGAGTAATTCATGTATGCTATTGTAGAGCAGCAGCATGTTTTACTTCCTCACGGCAATGTGACGTGCATGTATTGGACGTAGCATGTCCAGTACATGCTCTGAAACAACAGCAGCAGCATAGAAAATGCAAAGACCAAACCTAATCTATAATAAACACATCTCATAAAATGCATAATATACTGTAAGAGTGCTGATTATTAGATGGCAAAACTGGAAATCTATAGCTACTGATAATTTTTTTTTTCTGCATTCAGGGATATTTTGATTGAGCAAGCATACAAGATTTGAACTGCTGAACCCGAGAGCAGAGGGAAAAAAACAGCCTTTAATTCCACAGAGGTCACTGGAAAGTCAAGTTGGAAGATGTTTTAGCTCCCATACCTTTTTCACTAAGAGTATGATGGTGAATAAGAATATGGTGCTGTTACACATATAGGTCAGCCAAAAAAAGAAAACCTCATGTTTATTTCAACCCTTTATGCTGTGATTTTTGTTTCTCTCACTAGAACACAAAACTAGAAAATGTTATGCAGCTCCTGCCATTAAAGCCAAAAAATGTAGCTTTATGTGAAAAGACTGAAAATTCAAGTAATGATCCACACTTTTATGAGAAAAAAATGGTTTAATTTAGTTCAATATGAAGAGTTCAGATGCAAAAGCCTCTAAATGCCATTTGAAATGTTCTTCTTTAATGATGATTTTTTATCAAACTTCTATATTTAAGTTCAGTGATTTCACTTAAATGGCAATGATAATTACCTATTAATTGTTATTTAAGTGAAATTACTGAACTTAAATATACAAGTTTGATAAAAATCATCATCAAAGAAGAAAATTTCAAATGGCATTTAGAGGCTTTTGCATCTGAACTCTTCATATAGAACCCTAGAGTTCTAAGCTAAAATTTAAAGAACCATTTATGCCAAAAAATGATTACTTGTTTCTACAAGCTGCTTAATTCATAAAATGCATTACATGAATTAATTAAAACTAAAATCCATAAAATGATCCTATGATAGGAATCCCTAAAAGGTTTTACATGTGAAGTGCCTGACAGAACCCTTTAAAGTAACCTATGTAGAGTGCATTTTAGGGGCTGTTCACATAGTGCATTTTCCATTCCACTGCTCTACTTTTCCATTATTTGATGTGTTTGACTGTTGCACTCACATCTTGCGTCTTTTGCAGTGTCTCGTTCATGACACCGTGTTCTAAAAGTAAAAATCTAGTCAAGGCGAGACACGGCATGCAAAAACATTGGTAAAAAAATTGGTAAAAAATAAATAAATAAATCACAGGTCAATTTTGAGATTTTGGGCTATTTGTATTCAATAAAATGTTGTCTTTCAGACTTGTGCTGAAAAAAAATAAATCCAAAATACACATTTAGGTCTTTATTTTACTACACTTTGTCTGTTTGCGAGTGTAGATTTAGCCTAAATTCCTCAAAAGTTGGCATTTTAAATCATCCCGCTGCACCGTAATCGCGATCCATACCGTCATCGCACACACCGTTAGAAAGCCCTCTCTCCTCTTCAATGCTGTCGGATCCAAATATGGTCATTTCCTGTTTATCAGCAACCAATCATTAAAAGTAAAATGGGCCATTTACAGTAACTCGAAATGCGCAATCCCATAAAAATCTTTAACGGCCGTTTTCTCAAAATGAGTTTTTTCTCACACTTCTAGTGACGATTTTCCACTTCTGTAGCGCCAACATACACCAAACTTTACAGCTGTATTCCTAACTTTGTGAAGGTTTGTTCAAAGGGATTTGTTGATATATCATTCTTGGCCTGATTTATATTACATTTTATGCCTAAAAAAAGGGCGGAAAACTATTTTTTAAGGCTGTTGGCAGCATTTTCTGATTTACAGGGTAACAAAAGGAGATTTTCAGCCTTCAATCCCCTCTGAAAATGTATTTTCATTGAATGTATCAACAAAATGCAAACATAATTTTGAACCTTGTTTTTTTCAATGGTCAGATTCGACATGTCAAAAAATATATGCAAATTAGCACATGTTTAATTAGATAGACTGATTAGCATATATAAACATAAAATTACAGAAAACTTGCAATAGATTTTTTTCTCCTATTTATGCGAGTAATCAACTGGTAAGGTTTCATAGTGACATATGTAAGTTAAAATTTTTTTATCCTATTCACCTGCAGTGTCTTGCCTTTTTACTTTTTCAAAAACGCATCTCGAAATCTTGCGTTTTTTTTCACTGGTCACTTTATTCTGTATCCATTTTATTCCAAACAAATATTTTGGTTTGGAAGAACGTGAAGGTGAATACATGACAGAGTTCTCCTTTTTTTGTGTAAACTATCTCTTTAAAGCTTATGCCAAGTTTTATAAAACAAAATAACAATGATAAATGAAGAAATATGCATCATGTTACACTGTGGCAAGGGAAAAACAAGCAACTTCTGATTGTTGATTTTAAAGCCCTCTTTGAAGTGTTCTCATTTGGGTCCTTTCTTCTGTTCATTCAACAAGAAACTGTGCTTTTGTTTTTCCCATTGAAGATGACATGCGTCAGATCCCTCCGCACCTTAATTCATTACTCAAACACACTTCACACACACTCGCTTCATTTGCATTTGCAGTCGAGGACCTTTCCTTTTTGTATGATATTAACGCCACCAGTAAAGTATCAAATTATTACAGAGGTATTCCAGGCCATCAAAGACCCTTGAAAAAATAGCTATTAAAAGAAAAAAAAAAAAAACCTGCTAATAAAGAAACAGAAAGATAATATAATAGAGGACTGTGTGCAGCTGCGACACAATAAAAATTTTCACATTTAAATTCTGTGAACCTATAATTTGGTGAACAACTGAGAATCATTTTCTCTCTGGTGCCACTCAAATCAAAGCCATTCTCCATTTTTGCAAAGTGGTTTATTGTTGTCATACTCGATTCTGTTGATTTATAAACATCCCCAGCCTTATAAAGGCTGGAAATAAAGAAAAACAGTATCGAAATTCTGCAAGTTTAAGCTTTTAAACACAGAAAAAATGCATTACGAAACAAGTTATTAAAACAATGTCCTTGAGGGAATCATGTCCTCCAATCCCTGCATTCAACCAAGAGTAATAAAGCACTGCTGCATGTAAATAACACAACTGCTAAGCATAACACTGTTAGTGCACACCTGCCACAAACCAATCAGTCATTTATTAACTTTACTGCAAAGAAAGTATAAGAAAACTAAATATATTTCAAAGAGAAATCACATTAATATGCTGTGGGGGGAAAGCAATTAATTTAATTGGCAAGGTAAAACATTATCCCCTACAAAAAAAATAACTTTAAGGAACGCCTAGATGTAAGGAACTGCCTCATTTGTCATGCTT